TTCGTTCTACTACTGCTGTCGATCCTCTCGAGGTGAGTTTAGCCTCGGGACGAAAGATAGTGACTGACGCTAGAGCCACCGATCTCAGCCTTTCCATCGGTGGCCGTGTGCTGATTACTGATGCTTATATTATCGAGATGAGGGATTTTGACCTCATACTCGGTATGGATTGGCTAACACGTTTTCACGCAGATATCTGATGTCACGACAGGGAGATTACTCTTTATCTTCCAGGAGATGATCAGATCACTTATTATGGCTCCAGGACTCGTACTCTGCCTCATGTTATTTCTATGGCGAAAGCCAGAAAGATCCTTCGACGGGGTGATTGCCAGGGTTGCCTTGTGAGCCTCGTTGGAGATGAGCCAAAGGCACGTTCACCTCATGACATTCCGATGTTCGTGAGTTTGTGGACGTGTTTCCAGACCAGCTTCCCGGAGGTCCACCTAGCCGACAGGTGGAATTTTCTATTGATCTTATCCCTGGAGCCGGACCCGTTTCGAAGGCACCGTACAAAATGGCACCTAAAGAATTACAGGAATTAAAGACCCAAATTCAAGAGTTGTTGAATCTCAGTTTTATACGACCGAGTGTTTCTCCTTGGGGAGCACCCGTTCTCTTTGTCAAGAAGAAGGACGGATCCATGCGTATGTGTATCGACTACCGGGATCTTAACCGGTTGACGATCAAGAATAAATATCCGCTTCCCAGAATCGATGATTTATTTGATCAGTTGAGGGGTGCCTGCGTGTTTTCCAAGATTGATTTGCGTTCAGGCTACCATCAGCTGAAAATCAAGGAGTCAGACATACCCAGACAGCATTTCGTACGAGATACGGTCACTTCGAGTTTGTGGTTATGCCGTTTGGCCTCAGTAATGCCCCGACAGTATTCATGGACTTGATGAACCGTGTATTTCATCCTTTTCTCGACCAGTTCGTTATTGTTTTAATCGATGATATTCTTATTTATTTCAAGAGCCAGAAAGAGCACGAGGAGCATCTGAGGGCTGTTCTTTCGACCCTTAGACGTGACAAGTTATATGCAAAGTTCTCCAAATGAGAATTTTGGCTTCAGCGAGTGGCTTTTCTTGGCCACATTGCCACTCAAGAAGGTATCGAAGTTGATCCTTCCAAAATTGCTGCAGCTCAGAATTGGTCAGCACCGAAAAATCCTTCCGAGGTTCGTAGTTTCCTCGGCCTTGCAGGTTATTATCGCAGATTTATTGAGGGGTTCTCGAAGATTGCCCTCTCTTTGTCTCAGCTGACGAGGAAGTCTGTAAAGTTTGAATGGACAGACCGTTGTGAGTCGAGTTTTCAGGAGCTGAAAAGGAGGCTTACGACGGCACCAGTGTTGACTATCCCAGATCCATCTCAAAGTGTCACCATCTATAGTGATGCTTCGAGGCAGGGTTTGGGATGTGTACTTATGCAAGATGGCCAGGTCGTTGTCTATGCTTCACGCCAACTCAAACCACATGAACAGAACTATCCGACGCACGACCTGAAATTAGCTGCAGTTGTTCATGCCCTCAAGATTTGGTGACATTACCTATACGGCGGTCGATGCGAGATTTTTACTGATCATAAGAGCTTACAGTATATCTTTACTCAGAAGGAACTCAACAAGAGACAACGCTGTTGGTTAGAGCTCGTCAAAGATTATGATTGTACGATTCAGTACCATCCGGGAAAGGAGAATGTTGTTGCTGATGCCCTAAGCCGTAAGGTGAAGGGTGACTTGACATATGTTGTTACTCCGCAGAGTCAGTTGATTCAGGAGTTCGCCCGGATGCAGATTCAGGTGATTGATGCACTTCCTACAGCCAGTACGGGGAGTGTGAGTTCTATGCAGGTTCAGCCGACGCTGAGGGAGAGAATCCGGCAAGAGCAGGCTTCAGATGAGTTTATTCGTACGATTGATGCCAAGGTTCGCGCCGGAAGCGTCGAAGG